ACAGAGAGAGAAGAAAGAGACAAAATAAAGAGACAGAAAAGGAGACAGAAAAGGAGACAGAAAAGGAGACAGAAGAAGAGATAAAGGAGACAGCAGCAATAGATAGAGACAACAGAAGAGACAAAAGAAGAGACAAAAGAAAGAGACAAAAGAAAGAGACAAAAAAGGAGACAGAAAAGGAGACAGAGTTTGTTTGTTTATAAACAAAACAAAAGGAGACAAAAGGAGACAGAAAGGAGACAAAAAATAAATCAATAAAAACAGAGACAAATAGAGACAGAAAAGAAACAAAAATAAATAAATAAATAAACAACAAAAGGAGACAGAGAAGAGACAAAAGGAGACAAAAAATAAATAAATAAAAACAAAAACAAACGGAGACAAAAAGGAGACAAAAAATAAATAAATAAAAACAAAAACAAAAGGAGACAAAAAGGAGACAAAAATAAGGTCGGTAGCACCTGCGGCTGCCGCCATTTGCTTCAACATCGCTGCAGCAGTAGCAGCAGCAGCAGCAGCAGCAATAGCAGCAGCTGCTGCAGTAGTAGCAACAGCTGCTGCAGCAGTAGCAGCAGCAGCAGTAGCAGCAACAGCAGCAGCAGCAGTAGCAACAGCAGCAGCAGTAGCAGCAGCAATAGCAGCAGCAGCTGCAGCAGTAGCAGCTGCAGCAATAGCAGCAGCAGCTGCAGCAGTAGCAGCTGCAGCAATAGCAGCAGCAGCTGCAGCAATAGCAGTAGCAGCTGCAGCAACAGCAGCAGCAGCTGCAGCAACAGCAGCAGCTGCTGCAGTAATAGCAGCAGCAACAGATGCAGCAGCAATAGCAGCAGCACATGTAGCAGTAACAGGAGCAGCTGCAGCAATAGCAGCAGCTGTAGCAGCATCAGCAACAGCAGCAGCTGCTGCAGCAACAGCAGCAGCAATAGCAACACCAGCAGCTACACCAACAACAACTGCAGCAGCAGCAGCAGCAGCAGCAGCAGCAGCAGCAGCAGCAGCAGCAGCAGCAGCGGTATCATTTGTATGAAGTCCCCTCAAACCCCTTTGCTCATCTCCAGCAGCAAGGAGGAGGCCAGAGGCAATGCGACAGCAGCAGCANCAGCAGCAGCAACAGAAGCAGCAACTAAGGAGTAAACCGGATCTATGTTTGTCTTTTGTTTTACATAATGTTTACGTTTTCTTTTGTTTCATTTATATTTATGTTTAGGGTTTAGGGTTTTAGGGTTTAGGGTTTTAGGGTTTAGGGTTCTTTACAGCAGATCAGCAGCAGAGGTGCGCTATTGCTGCAGCAGCAGCACCGAATTCCGGCTGTGCAGCAGCAGCAGCTGCTGCTGCTGCTGCTGCTGCGGACGCCCCACAGGTTGCACGCGGGGCACCAGCATCAGCAGCAGGAGAAGCAGCAGCAGCAACAACAGCAGCAGCAGCAGCATGTGCACAGCTAGCCAGCTAGCTAAACCCCTCTGGCGTGGCTAGCTGCTAGCTAGCCCCCGTGGGGTGTCTGCTGGGGGCCTAGCTAGCTGCAGCGTGTGTATGGGGGCCCCCCAGCTAGCTAGCTGCGAGGCAGCTAGCTGCTAGCTGCTGCTCCCCCTTCTATGCTGCATGCAGCAGCAGCAGCAAGCTGCTGCTGGTGTGGGGCCCCCAAGGAGGCGGTGTCTCCGTCCCCCAAGAGACAGGAGACGATGTCTCTGCTGCTGCTGCTGCTGCTGCTGCTGCTGCAGCAGCAGCAGCAGCAGCAGGTGCGTTATGTTAGTTTCTTTTTGTGTGCATTCATGAAAAACACAAATTAAAAAATAAATAAATTATATTTGCTTTCTCTCTTGATGTATATGCTGCTGCTGCTGTGAGCTGCCTGTACACCTGGGTGCTGGGGGTGCGGGGCGGGGGCTGCTGCTGCAGCAGGCTGCTGCGGCGGTGTGTGTGTTTTTGTTTTTATTAGTTGATTAAAATTAATTTATATTTATATAATAAATAAATAAATAAAAAGACAAAGACAAACGGTGTACTACTTCTGCTGCAAGCGAGAGGGGGGCGGGCTACAGACATACATACACACGTCACAGCAGCAGCAGCAGCAGCAGCAGCGCAGCAGCAGCAGCAGCAGCAGCAGCTGCAGCAGCTGCTGCAGCATGAGATGCTCTGCCTGAGTGGGGCGCTGTGTGTTTCTCTGCTGTGTCTCTCGCCAGATGCATGCAAAGCAGCAAAGGCGGCTCACATTCCAGTGTACATACACCTGAAATATAGGGCCTTGCTGCTGCNTGCAAAGCAGCAAAGGCGGCTCACATTCCAGTGTACATACACCTGAAATATAGGGCCTTGCTGCTGCAGCAGCAGCAGCAGCAGCAGCAGGAGCAGCAGCAGCACCCATCTGCTGCAGCTCCCCGTCATCTTCTCTCGCCTCTTGTCTCGATATCCTGGGCTACTGCTGCTCGTGATCGAGCTTGTTGGACTCCTCTGCTGCTTTTTCCTTTGCTGCTGCTGCTGCTGCTGCTCCTGCTGCTGCTGC